GTCCTGGGCATTTTGAAGATTCTTCTATCTTGCAGCTCAGCGACTCTCAAGATAACATCATTGTTCAAAGTGCCTGCTGAGCTCCAGCCATAATGTCCATGTTCTAGGCCATCAGAAGACAAAGGGTAGAGAGCAAAATTATCTTCCCTAGAGGCCTATTACTTCTTCATGAAGTTTTCTCCAGAACTTCCCTCCTCCCACCCACATGTTGGACATGTCAGGTGTAAGGGAGATTATGAACTATGGTATTTTTTCTGGACACGTTGATGTCTCCAGTCTTGGAGGTATTCTGTTAGTTGATCAGGAGTGGAAAGTGGATACCTGGAAGGCATATTGAAAAATTAACCTCATCAATTATTTAAAATTTGTTGAAATTTTCTTTGCATTCTAATGTGTGGTCAATATTTATAAATATTCTATGCCACTTGAGACTAATGTATGTTTGAACTACTTGTTAAGCTCTGGCTTCACTCCATGTACATCTTCTTTATCAAGCACAACTTTGTGTTTAAATTTGTGTCTATAGTAATTTAAGTTTTATTTGCCCCATCAGATTTGCATGCAAATATGTTAAATTCTCATACATTGTTGTATATTTTCCAATTCCTCCTTATTTTGTTGCTTTACTTTATATATTTTGAGGCTATACATGATGTTATAACTTCTTAATTGGTGTTTTTCTTTTATACAGCATTCCGCTTTATCCCTATTAATTCTTTTGCCTTAAAATCTCTTTTGCTGAGTACTAACATTGTTACACAAACTTTTATGTTTTTTAAAAATATTTTCACTCACTTTATGTAATGCCCTCTTGTTCAGCTTTCTTTTATGTCTCTTGTAACTGCACTTAATTTTTGTAATTTTGTCTGATAATCCTAGCTTCTTAATAGGTAAATTTCAATTTGTTTACATTTATTGAGATTCTGGATGTATATGTATACTGAGATTCCAGATGTATATGAACCTATATCTTCTGTGGTATTGTTGACCATTCTTTTATACACACATACACACACACACACACGTATACTTTAAATTCTGGGATATATGTGCAGAACGTGCAGGTTTGTTGCATAGGCATGCACAAGCCATGGGGGTTTGCTGCTCCCATCAACCTATCATCTGCATTAGGTATTTCTTCTAATGCGATCTCTTCCCTAGTCCCCTACCCCCGACAGGCCCCAGTGTGTGATGTTCCTCTCCCTGTGTGTTAACCATTGTTTATTTGTGTTTTTCACACCTCTTTCTTGCTTTCTAATGCATTGATATATAACTATATAGTCTTCCTTTTCTCCCTGCTGGTTTGGAAATTAAAGATAAAATGACTGTAATCTTTTAAATTATGCCTGAATCCCAAAAGATGACAAGGATCTTTTCATGGTTTCACTACAAATTGAACCCCCCATCTCTAACATTTGGCTATTGTTTAATATTTTATTTTTTAACTACAAAATTTGAAACTATTATCATTTTTACAGTGGATGTTTACTTAATTTTAAAAAACTATTTTGTATACTCACCGTTGTTCTTTTTCTTTGGATTCACTTTTTGTCTAGCTGAAGTAAATTCTTTGGTTTTTCTAGTGAGTGATCTCTAAGTGGTAAACTTGCTGAGTGTTGTATGTACAAATTTGTCTTGTCTTTGATAGAACATTTTAGCTAGGTTAAAATTCTAGGTCAATATTTATTTATTCTCAGTATAGTGAAGTGATACTATATTATCTTCTGGAATCTATGGTGTGGCTGATGAAAATTACTCTCTTAGTGTAACTCTAACTTCTTGGTAAATATTCTGTCCTTTCTCTCTAAAAGCTTTTTTTCCCAAAAATTTTATCATGAAAATTGCAAGCGTACAGAAGACTTGGGAGAATTGTACACTAAACTTCAATATACTTTCACATAGATTCACAATTAACTCTGTATCATTCCTGCTTTATCACTTTTCTATGTATCTGTGCATTTCTCTATCTACTCACCAACCGGTGGCCAAGTTTGAAACATTTCAAGGCTGTAGACATTAGCACTCTTTCCCCTAAAATATGTCAGCATGTATATCATTAACTAGAGTTCAATATTTATTTAGAGTTTTTTTGTTAAGATAAAATTTACAATGAAATGCACAAGTATTAAGTGTACCATTTGATGAGTTATTATATCTGCATTTTTCTGCAACATCAAAATTCTTATCAAGATACAGAACATTACCATCACCCTGGAAAGAGTTCCTTATGCCCTTTCTGGTATATCTTTACCCACTACCCATCAGGGCAATCACTACTCTTCTTTTAATTTGGGTTTTAAAAAACTTAGTATAAATAAGGTTTTATAGCATATTCTCATTAGTGTGAGATTTCTTTCACTCAACATGTTTTTGAGATTCATCCATATTGTTGAATGTCTTAGTAGTTTGTTCATTTTTATTGCTAAGTGGAGTACATTATCTGAACATACGAAATTTTGTTTATAGTTCTCCTGTTGTTGGACACCTCAAGTATTTTCAGTTTTTTGCTATTATGAAAACTCCCCTGAGCGCATTCTTGTACAAGTCTGTCTGTTTTTCCATGTCTCTTGCGTAAATACCTAGAAACAAAATTGCTGGGATACAGAATAGATGCATCAGTTCTTTCCCCGCAGGACCCATGAAAATGATGGTGTGGAGCAAGCCCAGGTGGGTGCTGCACTCACAGGTGTGTGCTGCAGTTGGAGGAATGCTTCACTGAGGAAACCCATGGGTTTATAAGGGGTCTGGTAGCAAACCTGCCCAAACCTTACCTCTGAGGGAGACATTATCTTTTTAGCTGGAATTTAGGCAACAACTCTCCTCTGGAGATCTTAACCAAATCTCTTCTGGAAGCATCTCCTCTGGAAAATTTCTAAGGAGGGAGATGTTCTCCACGTTATACTGGTCAGGGAATACGTTTGCCCCATAATCTGGAGGCTACATGATCTCTGCCTTACAAGGCTGCTTTGCCATTTGAATATCCTTGAAGTGATACTCTGAGGCGTGTAGAAATGCCATGGAGAATGGCATCCCAGGAAACTCACACCACATATTTGCTTCTGGCAAATTTCTCTGTGAAGATACCACCGCATTAGCCACTCTGATTAGTCAGATCCGTGGGTTCAAATCCATTTAATTTGTTTCCTACAACATTTAAAAATGTTGACCCAGTGCGGTGGCCCACTCATGTTATCCTAGTGCTTTGGGAGATCACTGCAGGAGGATCACTTGAGGTCAGGGGCTCAAAAACTAGCCGGGACAACATGATGAGACCCTGTCTCTACACACACATATACACACGTACATTTCATAAACTATAAATGATTTAGGTCCCTTATGACCACCTCTAAGGTCCAAGTCACCTTACATGAGGGAGGCAAGTTAACACCTGGCTTTCATATAAGAAGCACAATCCCCAGGGCACATGTGGTGCTCCCAGAAGGGAAGTGTTTACAATTGTTGGGATTCTCTGAGTGGGATATTCATTAGTCAGGGGGAAGGCGAACAATGTCTCCTACATGGCTCCTGGCTGGCTATAAGCCTTGAAGTTCCCAGTTCTGTTTGTTGCATCCAATCTTTGATTTGTTTGTGTGTGTGTGGGGGGGAGAGGGTGGGCATGTGGGGGGACTGCTTGAGGACAGTCTGTCCAATCTGTCCTCTTTGTCCATGACACCAACCAGGTGTCAGTCGCCCTCTAACAAATGATTGAGAATAGGGGTGGGGACGGTGTCTAGAGGGTTCTGTTTGGGACTTCAGAAGCTGGGGCCAGCCTCTGCTATCTCATGGCTGGTGCAGAGAGGCCGACTCAGTGTTCCCAGAGGCAGGAGCACTGGAGCAGGGTGTTTTCCTTCTGGACAAAGGATCCATGGATACTTCTGAAAGACAGATATCACCAGTACTCCTCTTTCCCCCATACCTATTTAGATGTCTTGATGCTTGCTCTTGATTCACTGCTGCAAAATCTGCTGTACCATTCCAGTGGCTGTACCTTCATCTTTTATCCTAATCATCTCCTTTTCTCACTTAGACCATCCATCTACAAAATTAGATAGAAGTAGAGCAAAAGCATTTTCATAAAATGTGTCTGGAATTAATGCTGAATCCCCTGGGCACTCTGAAGGCTGTGCCCATCAGGCTTCTAGGGAGAAAGAATGAGGCATCATCCCTAGGAATGGTCATAAAAGAATCCTGAATTTTCAAGATAGGTCTACAGAGCACTCGCAATTCCCCACCACCTTTGTCCTGGTCACTGTCCAGGAAGGAGATGGTCCCTTGCTGGGGACTGCTCCCTTCAGTGATCCTCCTGCGCTCCCATGGGGTGTGAACAGGAGGAGATAAGGGACATTCAGAAAATCAGTGCATTGTGGAGTCACTTTTCTGGTAAAGGGCACATCAGACTGCAAATGGGCCAGACGGCCAGATTCACGACACTGATGAGTTTCTAGGGTCACAATAGCGTTCCTGGAGTCAGCTGCTCTGCAGCCTGAAGGATGGCTGACAGTGCGGAGGCACTGCTGAGATTGTTTAATGAAACTGTATAGACATTCCATAATGATTACATAATTATATAATGAAAATTCTCCACATCAGAGTTCAGAATATCTCCCAACTTCCATTAGAGAATATTATCCATAACATCATCAGCTTCAAGGACTATGCCTTCTCACTGCACATTTGAATTTACACAACAAACACTTGAAAAGGGATCAAGCAACAGCAGTTATCATTCACTCTAAGGTGGCAGCAAGAGTTAATTTTCCATTCAAAATTGTGTTCAAAGGAAGATCATCTCCTATAGTGTCCTAAGCCCATGGCCCAAGGCTCATGCCAAGTTAAAACAGAACTCTGTACTCAGCCTCCACATTGCTACACTGATCGTATTTTGCCCCATTCCTGTGAACCTAAATATGAAAAAAAATCTTGAGAACTACTGGCATATAAAACTCAGAGAATTACATTTATACGTCTGCATAATTAACTTTATTCTCTTTGGTTTGAAGGAAAAAAGAAGGGGCATTGCTGGACCAGAGTAAAAAGGAGAGGGCAGAAAAAAATCCAACAGAATGGTAAGCAGGCAGAGTGAAGTAGTTACTGCTTTTGTTTATTAGGGTACTGCCCATTGTGTTCTTGAAGGCCTGCAGTTCCTGAGGGCCAGGATAGTTCTGTACCTCCTGTTTCAGTTAGGATGTAGACTAACAGGCTGTGACAAAGAGGCCTGAGAATGCAATGGCCTCAACGAAATGGTTTCTCATGCACGTAATAGTCCAGAGGTCCACAGTTAATAGGGAGGTGTTATCATTCTCAGTATGACTTTCTTTTCTAGCTCAAGAAATTTTTATTAATTTGGACAAATGTTCCTAAGAGGGCTAAATAAAGAAAGGTATGTGTGTACCATTGTAAACTATACATATATAATTATATATGTAATTGTAACTTATACGTATATATGCATAACCATATTTTATGTGAAATTTATGCTTGTGAAGTATGTTTTTATGTATCAATCCTTATATATACATATGTAATCATTTATCTCTATGTATAAAGAGACATAAATATAGAAAAAATCAATGGCAGTTCATTCATAAAAATACATGCAGTGGTTACATTTGGTCAGTGATGTTTATATTTTTATTTGCGGTTTTTAAATGTATGTATGTTTATTAAAATATTAGAAATCATCAACATTTGTAGTGAAAAAGTGTTCTTTAAAAAGTAACATATGCAAGAAGAAACAACTAGGAGAGTATTTGAACAAATCATCATCTGGAGATAGCCATCATCATCTGTGGCTATCCAGATGGTGGTGTTTCATACCATTTTATTTTTGGAGTTTCCTATAATTATATTCTTTATAATCAGACCCCTAAAATCTTATTTATTTTAGTCATGGTCTGAGGACTTCCTTTCTTCTAGACGATGAAGGTTTAAGTCTCATTTTCCAAATGATTGTTAATTTTGAATCAGTGGATCTAAATAGTAAAATTTTAGTCTTTTTTTTTTTTTTTTTTTTTTTTTTTTTTTTTTTTTTTTT